TACTTTGGTTTAGCAAAGATAACATAGTTCCACTCTTTTTTTTTCTTCTGTTTTGATCTGCTCACTACTGTTCCTTACTTTACAGAATAAAAAGGTGTGATGTGAGATTCTTAAATCTGAATCACTGTGTCCTGACAGTTCATAGAAGTGCAAAGCATAGGAAAGCAGAATCTGGCAAACAGCTGGCATGTTCTGTTATATTTATGGGTTTTTGTAAGATTGTCTGCCAGAAATGACCATACTCAAAAAAGATGCTCAGTTAGAAGTCTTTGAACACACTTCTCGCAGAAACAAAGTGGTTGTTGATAGTTTCTTTACAGAAAGTAGAATACTTTGGTATACAAGTTGGCCACAATAAAGAGTCTTTGAGACATCTCTCAGAAGAAGAAAAGGAGTTAAATATGAGAACTGCTTGAGACTTAAGAGCAAAAGCTGAGGAAGAAGAATTGCCATTAAATATTTTTCCATAGTTTAAATTAAAAAACTTTATTTAGCATTGGAGAAATTACCTTTGTGTTGTCGATAACTTTTAGAATAAGGCTCATCCCATTGGTTCTGCTTCATAATGACAAACTTTTAATTTGAACAGAGCATCTCACTCGAAAAGCAAGTAAGTCTTTTTGCAGACTTATTTTCTCCTGTAGAGGCTCCTTGCCTGATCTTATGTCTTGGTTGGCAGCTATTCTAACCAAGTCATTCTCTACAGCATATGTTTATGCTGTCTGGGCCATCTTGTGATGGCTGTCTGCTCTTTGGTAAAGATCAGCGGGATTTGCTTTGCTATAGAAATACTTGATTCTTCCATAGCTAGCTCAAAACAAAGCAGTGGTGGGTTGGAGTGAAGCAAGCCTGCAATGAAGAACGCTGCCTAAGTGTGGTGAGCTGTGAAAGTTTTTTGTCCTCCTTTTATTGTGGCAGACTTGGTGTACATGTGGGAGAGGAAGACGGGAAAAGCAGGCAGTCGTGATTTTTGTTCTGTTTTACATCGTTTGAGACAAAATTTCGCAACTGTTTGTCTCTACATATGCCCAGGGTGACCAGCTGAAATGGGCATGGCATTTGGTTGTGTTGTGTTAAGGCCCATGGGAAAGAATGAGAACAAGAAATAAGATGCTTGTCGTCTAGGAGAGCAGCATAAATCTTCACTGAATTGAAAATGCTGAAACAAAGCTGCATCACTGTCATAGATGTACTTGATGCATATGTGGAGAACATGTTGATCTGTAGGTAGTAAGTCTTACTAAGAAGTCTGCAGGTTAGATCTCGTAATCTGACTTTGTTGATATTAACAAAACATCACAACAAAAAGCTAAGAACTTTTAAATACTGGGCTTTTTTAAACCTCCAGCTGGAAAGTAGGAATGCTTAGAGCTAATTATTTTAGGTTTTGGGAATCAGTTGGCTTCCAGTTTCTGGTCTTTCGGTTAAATGATTGCTTTTCCAATAGTGAAAAGTAATTGGTTCCATGTTTGGACTATGGATAGATTCCAAAACAATTTTTAGAGTTTAAGTTTTAAATCTTGTCATTAATTTTAGGGGGGTGGGGGGTGGGTGTGGCTTTTTCTTGCTTTTAATAACAGAGTATTAATATTGAAGAGTAAGCTACAACAAGGTTTATGTTTTTAGCATCTTCTTGGTATATTCACTTTTTGATCTGGATATATTCTAAGGTCTAGGCCAATGTTGACAAAGCAGTATTTGTAAAACATGTTGAAATTTTGGGGTAATTTGTACTATATGAGAAGTCTTGATTTATTATAGGGAGATCGTCACTTTGGGGACCCTTTCACATTACACATTCTTGAGAAACAAAGTAGAATAAGGCCTGTTTTCTCCTCTGAGGACTGCAGTGACTTAGAAGACCACAGGAGGCAGTGCTTTCTGTTTTTTAAAAAAAAAATAAAAAAAATAGGCAATTCTTTTCATCAGCAAGTAGAATGATGAGAAATTAAACAACTGATATGTGTTGATATGTAACTTCATGAACGACTGCAGGACATGAGAAGATTAGGTGCCAATTGAAGATTGGGTGCCATTGTAGTGGTAGTGGAGCAAGTGGGGTTTGGAGCAGTTCTGAATGTCTTACAGGTAACAAAGTACTCCTTTGAGACCTCCTGAGAGGTCTGAAATTAAGCAGTTTCCCTTAGCTGAGCAACCAGGTGACTTCAGAAGGTTGCCCTTTTCAGGAGGTCTGAGTATAGCTACTCCTTACTTGTTTTTCAGAACTGTCTTTTTGTTTGAAGGGAAAGCAGCTTGTTAGGCACAATTGTATGAAGTGACATTACTTTCAATTGGTCTCTGGAACATTTCCTGCAAAACGGGTCAGAATCTATCTGTAATAAGATATGATTCTGTTTTTTAAACTATATTATTCCTGGTTTTCTTTCATATTTTTAGTTTGTGTATCACCAAGAGGGGTTGGTTCTTTGAAGTGGTTTTGGTGCAGAGTGAGGTGGTGTCAGGGTAATAGAGGGCAAAGGAAATAGGGGAAAGGTTAAAAAATTCCAAAAATAATTGACCGTAACCTTTGATTGTTGCAATGCTAATGTTTTTAAGTGTTTTGTGGTTTATAATAAAGGGTGGATCTTAACTTTTTTAATGTGTCCTTTTTAGATACAGTTTTATCACTGCTGTATGGGTTCCGGTGCCTGTGTAGCAGTTCGTTTCAGCCTGTTGGCTCTTTATATTAGTATCGGAAATACCTATTCCTTTGTGTTATTGTTATAATACTAGGTTTACAGAAATTTATTTGACAAGTGGGAAAATGTCTACCCATTGTAATCATGTAACTTTATTTCCAGATCTTCAGTTCATTAGCCAACTTGGCTAAAACCTATGAAATGTACCAATTCTATTCACTTTGAAGTTTTAGTAGCATTTCTGTTGTTGTTGGCAAAGTTTCCACTGTTAGTATTGTGTTCCCCTGAGAGAATATGTAGCTTGCAAGAAATCTTACTGGTATGCAGACAGTAATACCCCAGGCTTTGTGTTGTGCTATGTTGTACCATAATAGTTTCATGTCTATTTCCCTTTGACATCTAAATCAGTAACTTATTGAAATCACTATTTTCATTTTTAAGCACCTCTATTTTCAGACTGCACATGAAAACAAAATTATTTTCTTTTTAGCAGAGATTAATTTGACTATTAAGATTACTTTACTTGTCCTAGAGAGATGACTTTACTGCTCTTTTCTCAATGAGATTTTATTTCTTTTAAAAGAAAAATCTGTTGTGGATGAGTGGAAGGTGTGATGGCGGTGATGTTCTTGTATCCTTAAATGAAGCAGTGTGTGTAAAACAGACTGTGACTGTATTAGATTGCAAAGAATGCAAGGCATTGGCCCATTCATCAGTTTGGCAAGACAAGTATACTCCATGTGTCATCTGACTACTGTATCTCTCTGGCTTTGTGAATTTCACTTTGAAAACTTTTAATTACACAACTCCTGATCCGTTGTCTTTTACCTTTTATTTGGTTGTGTGTTTGGTTGTGGTTTTTTGTTGTTGTTTTTTTTCCCTTCCAACATACATAGCTGTGGAGAGTTAAGTTCTTTGTAATAGAAGATGGGCTATCAAATGTAAATTGATACTGAGAGTGCAGCAAAGGTGATATGTTGACACTGGCATGAGCATGGTTGTATCTGTTCACCTTTCAGTTATTTCTAAACCTGTTTTGTCTTAAGTGTGGCTTTTGTTGCAAATCCCAACAGAGAATATTTGTACGTTAAAAACAGATTTAGGTCATAGTGTCAGAATAATCTTGCAATAAAATGGGAAGTTCTCTGCCAATTTGATATGAGAAAAGACATTTTTGGGCTCTGATAAAGTTGAGGAGCCAGTGCATGGATCAGGATTGCTATTTTTTTTTTACCAGCTTTTCCCTTTGCAGTTGATGGGCAAATTCACAGGAATTACATCGCTGTTGCTTGTGAAGATCTGTAAGGCTTCTTTTATTCCCACCTATAATCAGTTTTCTTTCTTGATTTACAGATGAGTCGGCTGTTAGAACAGATTCTTTCTTAACCTAGATACTGAGTAAGAGGGTAAAAGCACTGTCTGCGGCAGATACCAGTGACTGTAACTGTATCTCATCATTCTGTTGCTACTATTTGAGCTTTTATGGTTAGACACAAGTGTTGCAGAGAAGGAAGTAGACCAAATTTGGTATCTTTCAAGAAATAAGGGCTGTACACAAGGCATAGCTAGTTCCTAGAACATTAGAAAAACCCAATGAAAGGAGTTGAACATCCTGAAAGAAGGTTAGACAGCAATTCTTTGTGCTCTTGCCTCCACTGGTCTTTTGTGTTTCTTGCATCTTTAATTTGTTACCTGGGTGCCTGGCCCTCCATTTGAGTGGGAATGAAATAAAACAATTGAAAGCAGTGCTAAAATAACTCTGAAGGTGTAAACCTACAATAAAAATTGTATTAATCCAAGATGAGTAAAAATACTGATGAATCCTGCTTAAAAGGAAAATAACAGTAAATTCGTAATGTATGCACAACCACAATGTATGGAAGTATTCAATATATTCTGAATAAATTTATTAGAAAAGTTTGGAAATTTTTGTAGGATGTTTCTGTTTCTTAGTCTCAATAAAATTCTGCATACAGTTAAAAAAAATTTAAGCTAAAACCAGGATACAGTGTTCTCCTGTCCAAACTTTTCCCTTTTATTCCCTTTTTTGTCCAATTTATTCAGACCTTTCTTTCTGAAAAGGTGTATTTTTTTCTGTTTTGTGAAGGAAGAACATGTTTTCTGCAGCTGGGAAGAAAAGTAGCTTTTCTTCCAGAATACATGAAAGCAGCTGTCAAACATCAGATTCCATTTACTGTTGCTTTTTGTTTGGGCTTTGCGTTAGGAGGTGGGAGCCCAGCTTATTCATCTATCAAATTTTCTTATTCAGCAACTGATTCTAGAATTGCTGCTTCATGTGGTAAGAGATGGTAGCGTTATTACATTAAGTCATTAATTTTAGACTGTCTGTTGTTTGTCTAGGTTTTTAGCCCGTTTCTTGGTAAAGATGGCAGCCAACAATGCAGTGCTGAACAGACTGGAGCAGAAGGGTGCAGAGGCCGATCAAGTTATTGAATACCTCAAGCAACAAGTTGCTCTGCTCAAGGAGAAAGCTAGTAAGGCATTATCTGTCGTATGATAAGCTTGTTAACCAGATGGTTAACATTAAATGCTCATAAGAAAAAATGAGAACATGGACAACTTCATTGGTGCTGTCAGCCTTTTAAGTGTGTTTCAAATTCTCCAAGATAAGGCTTGTAATAGTAGCACCATTTCAATGTCTTGTGGTTTGTGGGTTTTTTTGAAGCTGCTTATTCTGGAATAGAAAAGGCATGAATGAGGAAGGATTATGGACACAAACACAATAAGGAAATTTGATAGTATATGATTCCGTTTGGGGGGAGAAAGTTGGGAAGAATGACACTGTGCGTTTGCCTGAATGTCTTACTGCCTTTTCACCTCTATGAGGTTCTCTCAAGAGTATCATACCTTCAACTTTAATATTTTGTACATGTCGGTATCAGTGAATTAAGGTCGTCCATATTACAAACATATTCAAGCTTTTTCCAATAGGTTTCTTGGAATTTTTTCTTGTGTGTCTCTTTAGGGGACTGAGAAGCAAGTATATTGAGAGGCAATTTGAGTACCTAAGTATTGTAAAAAATAGCTATTTCAACAAAAAAGAACTCCAAAACGTTACTGGTTATATACTCCTTTAAAGTTTGCACTTTTTTGGTGTTTGGCTCACCATGTTTCACATCCTCTGATGAATGTTAATTATTGAAACTTGTTGGTTTTAATATAGTGTCAACTCTAGTCTTGCAGGCATCTCTTCGAGAAGAGAAGAAGCTCCGTGTGGAAAATGCTAAATTGAAGAAAGAAATTGAAGGGCTGAAACAGGAGCTGATTCAGGCAGAAATTCGAAATGGAGGTGGGGAAAAAAATCCTATCCTCATACAACATAGATCTAGCTAGCACAAAATATGATCAAAACTATCTTTAATTCTTCTTGATTTTTAACTTTCTCTATGTGACTCTATGACATTTCTTACAAATTCTAGATTTTCCTAGGTTCCTTCCATACCTATGTCAAGTTGCCTAGTTCCAACACTTTAGTAAGCTGCAAGCCTAACAGGTACAAATGCCAGATCTTAATCAGATGTGCAACTGGTTCTTTGTACGTTTTTGTACAGTGTCTTTCATAATAAGCCCTGAATTTGAGCAATGACAGTGACTCATTATAATACCTTAGAAACTGCTGAATGTCTAACGCTTCTTGAAACTCTGAGTATTTAACCTAGCACGACTGAAAAACCCTATGGAAAATCAAGCAATAGTTCAAAGTCAGATGGGCAGTGACTTATTAGAAAATCTGTGGTAATGTAAAATTAGAAACAATGTGTTTTGAATTTTTGATTCCATGCTTTAGTAAGACCAGCCTTTCATTGCGCTGTTTTTCCTTCTTTGCTCTCTTCTGCGTAGCTTTCTTCAGGTCGCACAATCATTATATAATTCATATTAAAAAAGGAAGGAGAAAAAACCAAAACTAAAGTGTTTCAGATCCAGCGTGTCTTCTTTAAAATTATTTCCAAAGAAAGCCTCTTCTGCCATCAACAGCTGTTACTATTTTTACCCACACTGTCAGTATTGTAAATTGGGTGAGATAGTATCCAGTGTAGCTGGATGCTAGCATTCAACCATACTGAATGTTTCACTGGTAAGCCAACGCATTCAATCTTCAAAAAGACTAGTGTTTTATAAATGCAGAGGGTTCTTTTTCTCCTTTGGTTATGAATAAAGCCCTTTCATGTACTAAAGCAAACCATTAGTTTATATTTCTTCATTATCTGTTACTCTGCAGCAGTTCTTGACAAGGATAGGATATTTCGCAGAATCTCTGTTATGCTTGAGAGGGAAATCTCAAGGTGTATGACTTTCTCCAAGATGGGAAAGGACTAGTAAATTAGTATTTTGCTTCACATGCATCGTCCTTTATTTAGCTAGTTTGTCTAAAATGTATTAGGACTAAATGCAGATCTTTTCTTTTGAAGTGAATTGGTGTATGTTAGTTTTGACAGTATTAAGTAGGTGAGCACAGAAACTAGGTGGACACAGAACATCAAAAATACTGCTTGAGATATTTTTTCGAAAAAACGAGAAAAAGTCCACAACTAGCAAGCAAAACAGCAAGCAATTTGTTGGTACAACAAATCTCAGATTCAAGTTATTTTAAAAAATTGTTTGTAAGAACATAATTTGTGCAAATCACTTTAGTGTTGAAGAGAGCTGGTATCAACGAACACAGTGAAGTTCTTCAGGAAGGTTAATAAATGTCTCAAGTGTAAAAAGAAGCATGTATGTGGAATGGGGAACTGTAAGATAGTGACACTAGGAGGATTTGTCAAACAGTTACTAATCATAGAACAGCACAGCTTTAAAGGGACCTCGAAAGATTGTCTGGTCTTATCTTTCTTGGGAAAGGGAGCCTAGGTGGTATTGTCTAGCCACTGATGATGCTTACCCAGTACAACGATTTGGTAAAAAGCCTTAATAAGAGTCTTGAGAAGAGCGGAATGTAGAAGGGAGGTGATCCTTATGCTGTCATCTGGTAAGACTGAAACTGAGATGATGTCCAGAATTCTGTATCAACATTTTAAAAAGAAGTATGAAGATAATGTGAAGAATTTAAGGAAGGGAAGTGAGGAATCAAAAAATTGTTTTAAGGTTGCAGGTAACTTCTCAGAATGTGATTATTCAGGCTCAGTTTCTTATCAGAAAAAGACTTGAGGAATGATCTGACTACAATATAAAAATTATTTTATGCATCCAAAATTCTGAAATAGTCTCCAGTATGACAAGAACTAGTAGCTAGAAGCTGAAACTAGACAAATGCATATGAGAGATCAGGAGTTAGTAGCAAAGATAACTAGATACTGAAATAAACTGCAAAAAGAGGTGGTGTTTGCTTGTATTTTCTATTGCATTTAGCACTTTTTCCCGTTTAAAAAATGTGTAGTCAAAGACATTGTTCTGAACTGATCAGAATAATTATATATAGATTGAGTTCTGGTATGCGTTTTGCAATGTTGTGCTTCACTATTCAGCAGTTGTGGTTTAAGTATTTTAAGCAAAAATTTCAGTTTTCTCTACTTTTTCATTTATGTTGGAAATTTAAAGAGTCATAGTGTTCAAAGTTCTGGTACCCCTTCTGACTTTTGTGGTTTTGATTTTAGTGAAACAGATCGCAGTTCCTCCTGGTACAACTGTTTCCGCAGCTTCGTTTTCAGATGGTGTTCCACAAACTACAGCAGATGCATTATCTCCTGGTTCCAAAGATCAAATTAAAGATGAAGATGAAGAAAAGAAAAAAAAGGAAAAAGTAGAAAAAAAAGGTACTTCAGTTTTCTTAGCTGTGATAGACAGTTAAGACATTTAATTTATGCAAGTGCTTTTACATCATTTTGGGCACAGAAAAAAAACCCAGTTCTTACAGCCACAGTAGGAAGAGTCATGTGCTAGGTCTTAAAATCTTGGAAGTGCTTAGAACTAACGAAGGCCATCAAGTAAGCTACAGACTCCTACTTAAATGGGATACGTGCCAAATTTCTTTTAATGTGATTGAACTCCCTTATTTAAAAAAAGCCCAAACAACAAAGAAACCAAGCACCCCTCTCTCCCCCCAAGTCCCCCAAAATCCCACAACCGAAAAAAGCAAAACCAAAACACATACACACAAAGGAGGGGGGAGGGGGGGAAGGGAGAGGCAGGGGGAGAGGAAGAGGAAGACACAGAGTTTAGAGAAGTTTATGGCAGGCTGGAAGACATTCCATTCTGAAGCTTAGTTAGAATCTTTTTTTTTTTCTTTTCTGCCCTGGAAACAGTGCAAGCAAACGGCAAAGACCAGGTCTGCAAAATACCTTGCAATCAATAGCAGCATAACATAATGTTAGGAGAAACTCAACATGAGCTGGCAATGTGCACTTACAGTTGGCATTCTTGGGCTGCATCCTGGGCTGCGTCAAAAGGAGTGTGGCCAGCAGGTTGAGGGAGGGGATTCTGCCCCTCTGCTCTACTCTGAGATCCCACCCGGAGTACGGCGTCTAGCTCTGGAGCCCTCAGCATATGAAAGACATGGTCCTGTTGGAGCGGGTCCAGAGGAGTGCCACAGTGGAACACATCTCCTATGAAGACAGGCTGAGAGAGTTGGGGTTGTTCAGCCTGGAGAAGAGAAGGCTCCAGGGAGACCTTACAGCAGCTTTCCAGTATCTGAAGGGGCTGTAGAAGAAAGCTGGACAGGGACATTTTACAAGGGCATGTAGTGATCAGACAAGGGGGAATGGCTTCAAACTGGAAGAGGGTAGATTTAGGATAGATATTAGGAAAAAATTCTTTACTGTGAGGGTGGTGAGGCACTGGAACAGGTTGCCCAGAGAAGCTGTGGCTGCCCCATCCCTGGAGGTGTTCAAGGCCAGGCTGGATGGGGCTTTGAGCAACCTGGTCTGGTGGGAGGTGTCCCTGCCCATGGCAGGGGGGTTGGAACTAGATGATCTTTAAGATCCCATCTAACCTAAACCGTCTATGGTAATACTGAAGGAAAAGTGCTAAATTGCGGTTTTCTGCATTCTCTAAATAAACTGCTTCCCCCCCATCCCCCGGAAAATTGTTACAGACAGTGAAGTTCCATCAGAATTGATAGATAACTCCATGTGAACACTGGTGAAATTGTGTGGCTAGGAGGAAGTACTGGGTAAAGGACGTAGGCAGATAGCATAGTCTGGTTTTGACAATGGGGAGGAAGTGTAGGAGAAGAATATGTAGGTTTCCTAACACCTTTCCTCCTGTTTTTCTTGTTTAGCTGTCTGTATTGACTTCTGTTTAACAAACTCTCTTTAATAGAAGAAAAGATGTGTCTGTTAAACTTGCACAAAAGTACAGGTGTCTGTCTTGTAACTTAAACTTGTGTTTTATAATCATTCTCGTAGCAAATTAATAATTTGTTTTATAATCATTCTCGTAGCAAATTAATAATAACTTGCTATGAATTGATTTGTACAGCTTTTCAGAGTTTGCATATTATGCTGATAGGGCACTGTATCTCTTTGATTTTTCTGGTGAGCTGTACACAGGCTTATAAGCTACTTCCTGGTTTTTGGTGTACTGCAGCCTTTGACACATCAATAATATTCCACAGAGCTGTAAATATAAAAGCACAGGCCACATGTCATATCAGGCAATTAACTGTTTTCTTCAAATCTTCAGTGGCTACAGAGAAAGTATTCAGTTGGTAAGGAAAAATAAGTTTCTTGTATTTCCCCTCATCTTCTATAAGTAGCTTGAATTTCAAAAGCAATCTGTTTGACTATTTCCTTCCAGTGACTGTATATGGAAAAAGGTGAAATATAGCATGAACGTTAAATAGAAGCCCTACCAGGCCTATTTCTGTGGAGTTCAACATCTATTGTAGGCAGAGTATTTAACAATCAAAGTAACCAATATGTCAAACTTGGGTTTTAGTCTTGAAACTGGTGAAATTATGGAATATCTGAAATCCTTTGGCATTCTGTCACTGATCTCATCCGTTTCCTCTCTGGTTGTTCCCATATTCTTAATTCCACTTCTTGCACACCTCATCTGTGAGGCTTCTGTGGATATTGATTCTGACCTGACTCTGACGCTGGCCAGAGGAGTGCAGTTCTCTCCTTAGCCTGTGGCATTGAAATGGATATTTTCTGTGCATCTGTATATATATGCTGTGTACAGACATGCTTTCCAGTGTTCGCTTTTCTTTATTTGGTGACAGACTTCATTTCTGAAAAGTAAAACAAAGAGGGTGCTAGAAGCTGATTTTTTTGGCTCCAGACTATTGTAGGGAGACATCATGAAGTGGAGAACAGTGAGGAATGATACCAAGAATAAAGATGGCAGCTCTTTCAAATGATCTTGTGTATTAAATATAAACTATTTTGATGTTTTTTCAGTTTCTCAATTATTGTATATATGACTGGTTTTATTAATCTAATTGTAATTTAATTACAATTAGATTAATAAAACAGTCATAAATACGAACATTTTGTTCATCACATATGAACTGAAGTATTTTTGAAGCGCTATTGCGTATGTTAAAAAAATACTGCATTTTTATTACTAAATGAAATTTAACTTCAACCCTGTACTAGAGCAATGATAAATTAATTGAATTGCCTGCTGTGTCCACTTTTCCTTTTTTGCTCTCTAGAGGAGTTTAGCTTACGTTAATGTGTAAGCTATCTTGGATGAAAGAATAACAGACTATGCTTATTTTAAGTAAGCACTTCTTAGACGTTTCTTGATCTCCCAGAGATTATAGTTGTTAAACAAATCTTGAATGTCTTTTAAACAGGACGGTCTTACATACAAACTGGATCTAATTTGTTCTTTTCGAAGGGAACATCTAAATAAGAAGCTGAGTGTGGGGAGTGTTGTTTCACTGCTATTTTATACCATACAGTATGTATGGGTGATGATAAACCCTTGCATTGCCATAGGATAAAGACTGCGTGTCAGTGGAACCTCGTAAGCCATGAGCATTTTCACACACTAGTATGTTTGAGAAGTGAAGAAGTTAGCTAAGGTCATCTCGAATGGTTACTTTGCAACTGTAACAGTGCAGTTGCAGTGACTTAGCATTGTCCGCAGTCAGGAGCTGTTGTTAGGCTCTAGTAACCTGATGACTTGTGATTGCCTAGTCTGCCTTTGCTGGTGAAATACCATGGCAAGACTTACTGGTATTTGCTAATTATTAAAATGGTACTATCAGGCTTATCGATATGGCCTTTGGCAGCATATATATGTCACTTGCATACATGTTAGCTACACTAAAAATTCAGGATGACTTCACTTTACAAACAAGAAAACGCCTCTGTTCCGAGATGGTAATTATTTATAGCAGCAATCTAAATTGGAATGTGTATGATGATTCTTCACTGGAAGCTAGTAATAGAGGTGCTAACTCTTTACTCTTCATTTGTGTTTTACATGGGATTTACACTTATTTCTGAGACTGTAGCTAGCTTTTCCCTTGCAATAGTCAGACATGCTACTTAGGCTTTTTTTAAGGTTTATTTCATGAACGAGACTTTCTTTAATAGGTGAAAAGAAGGAGAAGAAACAGCAGCCACCTGCTGGAAGTAGTGATGCAAAACCTATAGATGTTTCTCGTCTGGATCTTCGTGTTGGCTGCATCATTACTGCTGAAAAGCATCCAGATGCAGACACTCTATATGTTGAAAAAGTGGATGTTGGTGAAGCAAGCCCAAGGACTGTCGTCAGCGGTTTAGTGAAACATGTTCCTCTGGACCAGGTATTGACAAAATTACTGATATTTTCTCCTTTTCTAAAGTATCTTAAGACCATCATCTGTTTACAGGATGTGTTGTCATTGTGCTAAAAGATTTTTACAGTCATGAAAACAGAAATGAAATGCAAATGCAAGTAATGCTTAACAACATTTGCCAGAAAACGGAGAAGTAAACTTACGCCAAATCAGTTCCTTTTTGCTTGCAGTGCATCTGTCCTGGGATCTTACTCTGACTCCTTTGTGATGCCATTGGTACACAGTGGACTCCTAGTCCAAACAGATGTGACTCTCCCTTTAGGTTTCCTAGTATGTAGTAGAGAATTTATAGTAACTTTTTTGCTGTCATCCAAACTTTTCAAACTTTTGCCTTCCAACTCTCTTTATAGCCTGTTGAAGTGTTTGGCATGGAGCAAAGCAAAGAGTATGTAAATTTAACTTAGCTGTCAGTGTGTGTCTTAAAAAACAGCAGAACACAAAATGCATATTTTTACTTTGTTGTCCAGAATAGAGTCTGCCTCTGTGCTTTTTTAGGTGATACACTTCTGTGTTTGATGTGCACGGTTTATGTATGTCTTGGGAACAACCTGAAACTTCAAGATTATATTTTCCTTTCACACCTCTTCTGGAGGGTGAGTGGAAGCAAGGAATTGACTGAAGGCTGCTTCTAAATTTAAATGCAAGTTTGGCAATTAAACCAATGTTGTGTAGAGCACCTGCAAAATGGGTCGTGAAGGAATTGATCTTAGTGTGGAAGAGCTACATTTTCTCAAATGCCTTTTCAATCCCTATTCACAACCTGTCCCCATGGTAAGACTGCAAACGTAGGAGGCAATTAAAATTTTGATTGTTGTTTTTATGATACAAAAAGTTATTGAACTGAAAAAAATTATGGAATACAATAACTATTCTGCACTGATCACCTGATGGTGTCCAGTTACTGGATTTGCAGTGGGAAAAAATTCAATTTACTCATTTTTAGCAGTCTGCTCTCAAGAAAGCCTGTAGAAAAAACATCTTAAAAGTCTTTCTAAATAAAATTATGAACATGAAGTGTACTGAATGTAGTGGCAATAACAGGCTTTTCTCTTTAATCTACTTTCTGTCTGGAAAAAATAATCCAAAGTATCCATTAACAGAGAATTAGGGATCATTCTTGCACATTCTTTGGGAACAGTTAGTTTGTGTGTCTGGTTTTGCTTTTGGCAAGTTTCTATTAGACAGTAAATTCTTAAGGCAAGCTTCCATCTTTTTATGGTTTTTGAATTGTTCAAACATGTGAAGGCCTGGCATGTGACTACTGCCATATATTTAAATAAAAATGTGTACATCAGATCAAGCACTATGGACATAACTAGTCTAAAATTCAGCAGTTTATGATTACAGTGTTTGATGTGGTAATTTAACAATGTTTGAGGCTGTAGTATTTTTATCATCTGATTTTACTTTTGGTTAGGAGTCACAATATGTATCTTCATTAAGATTTCAGTATGCAATGCAAGTTATTTATGTGTGCGAAAAATTTATATGTGGTACAGTGTGGTTTTGTGTACCAGTGATGGTGGTCAAGCCAAGTCAGAAGGTGCACCCTCAAGTATCATGTATAGATAGATACATGTGTCATCAGTAACAGGGATATGGTACTGAAGCATGAGGTGGACCATGTCAATGCTGAGCGCTTTCAGCAGCAGCTGAGGACAACTGGAGAACATTCTTAAGTGTCTGCAGGAATTGACAGCTCTTCTGCCACTGCATTTGGCATTTTGAAGTAGATCTGTGTTCCTAGCCCGTGGCCAAACAACCAAAACCACTGCAGTCTGCAGTGGACCCACAGCCCACAACTAAACAACCAAAAACTCCCCCATTGGCGCACACCCAAGGGGATGGGAGCTGGTAATGCAGAAGATTGGAAGCTTGCAATGGCAAGGACCAGCAGGAGGAAGAGACTTTCTCTGAAGCCTGAGGTGCCCTTGTCGACCTGCTTCACTGCTCTGCAGACTGGAGAGGAAAGACCAGTAACATCACGAAAGATGCAGGAGCTGAGTAAGGCCACCTGATTTGCTCCCCGTATAACAACCAGCGCAACGAAGAAAAAGTGACGGGTCATAATAGTAGGCGACTCTCTTCTGAAAGGTTCAGAGGCAACCATTTGACGACCTGACTCAGTGTCTAGAGAGGTGTGCTGCTTGCTGGGGGTTCGTATTAGGGATGTCACCAAAACACTACCAAGCCTCATACAGTCCACTGACTATTATCTGCTGCTGTTGTTTCACATGAGCACCAGTGATACCACCAGGAGCACTCTGAGGAGTATCAAGAAGGACTACAGAGCTCTGGGAGAGGTAGTAAAGGACTCTGGAGTGCAGGTGTTTTTTTCATCGGTCCTCCTGGTTAAAGGGAGGAGTTTTGAAAGGACCAGTCAAATCTGGCAAGTCAACGAAGGGTTACAGCAACCATACAGCATACAGCTGTATGATTGCATTGCCATACAGCAAGCTCACTACCCCAGACTTCAGGAGAGCAGACTTTGGCCTCTTCGGGGATCTGCTTTGTAGAGTACCATGGAATAAAGCCCTGGAGGGAAGAGGGGCCCAAGAAAGCTGACTAATATTCAAGGATCATCTCCTCCAAGCTCAGGAGTGATGTATCCCAAGGAAAAGGAAGTCAAGCAAAAAAGCCAGGAGGCCTGCATGGATGAATGAAGAGCTCCTGGACAATCTCAAACAGAAAAAGGAAGCCTACAGAGGGTGGAAACAAAAACAGGTAGCCTGGGAGGAATACAGAGAAATTGTCAGAGCAGCTAGGGATCAGGTTAGGAAGGCTAAAGCCTTGATAAAATTAAATCTGGCCAGGGACATCAAGGGCAACAGGAAAAGCTTCTACAGGCACTTCAGTGGTAAAAGGAAGGCTAGGGAAAATGTGGTCCCTCTCCAGAAAGAAACAGGAGAACCCAAGATATGGACAAGGCTGAGGTACTCAGTACTTTTTTCCTCAGTCTCCACCAGCAAGTGCTGTAACCACACCACCCAAGTCTCAGAAGGCAAAGGCGGGGACTAGGAGAATGAAGAACCACCCACTGTAGGAGAAGATCAAGTTCAAGACCATCTAAGGAATCTAAAGGTGCACAAGTCCATGGGACCTGATGAGAGACATCCGTGGGTTCTGAGGGAAATGGCAGATGAAGTTGCTAAGCCACTCTCCATCATATTTGAGAAGTCGTGGCAGCCTGGTGAAGTTCCATCTGACTGGAAAAGGAGAAACAGAACCCCCACTTTTAAAAGGGGGGAAAAAAGGAAGACCCGGGGAACTATAGGCTGGTCAGTCTCACCTCTGTGCCCGGCAAGATCATAGAGCAGGTTCTCCTGGAAACTCTGATAAGGCACATGGAAAATAAGGAGGTGATCAGTGACAGCCAACATAGCTTCACTAAAGGCAAATCATGCCTGACAAATTTGGTGGCTTTCTACAATGGAGTTACAGCATAGGTGGATAAGGGAAGGGCAACTGTCAATCGTCCACCTGGACTTCTGCAGAGCATTTGACACTGTTCCACATGACATCCTTGTCTCTAAATTGGAGAGACATGGATTTGACAGATGGGCCACTCGGTGGGTAAGGAATTGGCTGGATGGTCACAGTCAAAGAGCTGCAGTCAATGGCTTGATGTCCAAGTGGTGAGCAGTGGTGAGTGGTGTTCCTCATCAGTCACTACTGGGACTGGCGCTGCTTAATGTCTTTGTTGGTGATGTGGACAGTGGGATTGAGTGCATCCTCAGCAAGTTTGCCAATGACACCAAACTGTGTGGAGCAGTCGACAGGTTGGAGGGAAGGGATGCCATCCAGAGGGACCTGGACAGGCTTGAGAGATGGGCCCATGTGAACCTCATGAGGTTCAACAAGGCTGAGTGCAAGGGCAGAGAATGGATTGAGAGCAGTAGCCCTGAGGAGAAGGACTTGGGGGTGTTGGTTGATGGAAAGCTCAACATGAGGCGGCAATGCACGATTGCAGCCTAGAAAGCCAACCGTATCCTGGGCTGCATCAAAAGGAGCAGGCCCAGCAGGTCAAGGGAGGTGATTCTGCCCTTCTACTCAGCTCTTGTGAGGGCCCACCTGGAGTACTGCGTCTAGCTCTGGAGCTGCCAGCATAAGAAGGACCTGTTGGAGCAAGTCAAGAGAAGAGCCATGAAGATGATCAGAAGGCTGGAGCAGTCGCCTATGAAGACAGACTGAGAAAGTTGGGGTTTTTCAGTCTGGAGAAGAGAAAGCTCCAGGGAGACCTTACAGCATCCTTCCAGTACTTAAAGGGGACCTACAGGGAAGATGGGGAGGGGCTCTTTATCATGGAGTGCAGTGATAAGATGGGGGTAATGGTTTTAAACTGAAAGAGGATAAATTGGATGTTAGGAATGTTAGGATTCCTAACACATATGTTAGGAAGAAATTCGTTACTGTGAGAGTGGTGAGGCACTGGAACAGGTTGCCCGGGGAAGCTGTGGATGCTCCATCCCTGGAGGTGTTCAAGGCCAGGCTGGATGGGGCTTTGAGCAACCTGGCTAGTGGGAGGTGTCCCTGCCCATGGCAGAGGGCTTGGAACTAGGTGATCTTTAAGATCCCATCCAACCCAAACTATTCTATGATCAGTTCTTGTCTCAGGCAATCATTCTTGAAATTCAGACAATTCTCGTGTTGCTTTTTTACTGCCTGAAATCCCCTTGAACCTTGTAGATCCTTATGTTAGTGATCAGAAGTGAAGAAAAAGAATGCATAGCATATATCTTAAAGTTAGCAAGAAGAGGCCACCATCAGCCTCCAGAAACACTGTGCTACAAGCATTCTTTATGTGAGGATGCTGTACCTGTTACGAACTGTATAGTCTCATTTTTATAGCAGAATTTTTTTTCTTTCTACTTAGAAGGCTTCATCTCTTTTTCTTTCTAGATCATTGTTTAAGGGTTAGCGTTGTCCACCCAGGAATTAGCAGATGGTAGTGGAATTTATATTTCTTTTTCTTAAATAGAATGTTAATTGTAGTCTTTATTCACACTCTGGATCTTCTAATTTTTTTTGTCTAGTCTGCAGGGAAAATATGTTTCTATAAACCATAAAGAACAGTGACTGCAGAATGACTGTGAACTTATTGACGCATTCAGTGTAATACAGGATACCTGTCTTAAAGCAAACAAGTCTTATTTCCTCTACTTCTGTAGAATTGTGCTTCAAGGCTATATTAAATGCTACTGTGTTTCTTTTCAGGTATGAAACAAATGGAAATATCTGTGTCACCAAGCTTGTGATTTGTAAATTGTTTGCTGCCAAACTTAAGATCCCCCCCTCCACCCCCTTCTTCGTTCTACAAGCATGTTGGGAAAATGCTTTGTTTTATTCTGATTGTGAAGTAGCTGCATGTCCAACCATAGAAACTACAATGACTAATGTTTTTGCTGAAACTAAATCAGTTTCTCACTGGTTGAGTTGTCAGTGTTGAAGTTCCTGGATTTTTGAAACAAAAGGATTGGCTCCTTGGAAGGCCAGCGAAGGTTGTTATTGTTTCAAGGAGATAACATTTTAATTTCCTTTGCTCATTCTCAGCCTATTTATGTATCGAACACTACCTGTGATGCCAAAGCCTTATCAGCTCCCTGTAGCCATAGACTTGCTTCTGTTTGTGTCCTTTTAAGTGTAGAGATTTGCCCTATTGTTCTTAACCAGAATTTGCTTTACTGGATCATAACACATATGCAGAATGAAACATACACTTATTGTCTATCTGTGTCACCTTCAGCTGTTTTTCGGTAACACCCTGTATTTCTGATAGAACTTTTCACATACTGGGAAAGGGAGTCAGGTTTCTTCCCATTTGTTTGGATTTTCTTTTTCTTTCTGCCTAATCTTATCTATATGTCAGGAAACTCCGCAATTTATTTTTACAGTTACTTTTGAAAAACTAGGCTGTTTCTTTTGTTCCTCTAATTTATGGGGTTACAGAGAGTGGCCATCAGTAGAATTACTGGATCTGACTCTTTATATCTGACAAATTTCAGGATTTTATTTATCATTTATTCTAAGAAGATATAAGAGCAATGCAGACAGAATAGTACCCAAACTTCAGATTCCTTGATGGGTTGTAAACATTTTTCCTTGCACTTATGCATCAATACAGAGGGATTTACTATTGTAATTGACACACTATTTTCTGGAAACATTACAGTAAGTCCCTTCTATAAAAATTAGCCCAATCAGTTAAAAAAAAACAAAACAAACAAAAACTAAAAAACTAAAAGCTTTTGCATTTATTTATGTCTAGGAAAGGAAGCATTTATTTATGTCTAGTTTCTTTTTTTCCTCTATACTTAGGGAATTATCATTTATCTGAAGACAGTTTAAAAATTGAGCCATTTGTAATAAGAATGAAAACCAAAGTCTTTAAATAGCAACGTTTTGGTTTTGGCTGACCATCTTGGGATGGGTTTTTGTTTTATAAAAGTATTTATTTAACTTTGTGAGTTTTCTTAGCATTTATTTGTGAAATCAATACACATATCTTAGTATTAAAGCAGTTCAAAAGCATTTGAAGATACTTCCTGGTAAAGGTGATGGGATAACGGTTATGTTTGAAATGTTGGTAAATGCTTCTTAATTTTGTAATAGTAATCAACTTCTCATACAGAAATGTCATGCAATGTATATGAACATTTGGGCCACTGTGATTGGAAAGGAATGATATGATGCTAGTTTGGTTTTCTTTCCTGTTAGTTTGATGAAGATGATCTCCGTTTCCATACTAATGCAGTCTAGTTCTGTCAGTTGTATAACCTGTAATAAAAAAAGCAATGCTCTGAAGTCTAGAATTTTTTCCAGTTGATCAAAACTAAACTTGAGTACAAATGCAGAAATCTTGTTTCTTTTATTCTGTATATCTATTTGTTTATTGTTATTCAGTGCTAGGTAATGTCTACAACTTTCATTTTAGAGTCACTGACATCTTATAGTCATTTCTTGTGTTTTGGGTGATTTATATCTGTAGCAATAACTTCAGAAATTTTCAGTCAATGGGCTGCCTTGAAACTTAAGCAAGACCAACTCTTCTTTATAACTGCTACATTTTGGACATTTATATTTTTGTTTTTTAAAATGTTCCGCTTGTAAAACATGTGGTCTTTGGAATACTTATCATATCAATTTTGTTAAGTATTAAGCCTTCAGTTTTGTTTAAACTTTAATATTGTAATGCACAAAGACTGAAATCTGGAAATACGGATATATATATATATGTGCACTCAGAGTATGGGAATTAAGGTGTCCTTTCTATCTGTCTCTTAAGAATGTTCTGGATTTAATTTTTATTCAGTTTGAAAGTGTGGTTTGTTTTCTAGGCTTAAGTGTGGCAGTTTCCCCTAACAAAGTATGTTTTCTCTGGTTTACTACTACAGGTTTTATGAAAATAAAACAACAAAGGAAGAAACGTAGTTTTACAGTTTTGCTCTGACAAATTGAAGTGCATGATATATACAGCCATTTTCAGTGGTTAAAAAAAATTCAAAACATTTGGGTTAAATAAGATAAATTTTAAGATTCAAGTGGGCTAATTATGTAAAACACTGTATGCTTCCAGTACACAGTTTGAAATTTATATCTATGAGCTAGTCTAATTTGTAGAGTGGGTTTATTATCGTTATTATTATTAAATGGAAATTGTTCGGTTAATAGTGCTACATTGAAAGTGGATTGAAGTGGTGATTGAGAATGAGTGAAGATGGAACGTGGGTGAAATGCATTGTCTGGTTTTCCGATTCCTGAATTGCACATTTTGTATTTCCATGATAACTGTGTCACGATTCAGCACTTACTCTATTATTCACTGGTCAGTTCTTAAGTCGTTCAAATGTTATTTGGTAGTGGTGTGCAGGTGTTAAAATTGTGCATCTGTTGCTGTATGCTTCTCTCGTCCATGTTAAGGTCTCTTCATTGTAATTCTTTTGTTATAATGAAATTGAGCCCCTCAAAAGCATATGGCATTTAAGTACTCACATCCTTCTATTTTCCTTCCCCAAGATGCAGAATCGGATGGCAATACTACTCTGTAACTTGAAGCCTGCAAAGATGAGAGGAGTAGTATCGCAAGCAATGGTGATGTGTGCTAGCTCCCCAGAAAAAGTAGAAATTCTGGCTCCCCCACCCGGGGCAGTACCTGGCGACAGAATAACTTTTGAAGGTTTTCCTGGTAAGTAGGTATTTGGAAAATTGGAGAAAATAGGTATGCCAAGGTGACCTTATTGATGAAGCAGATAAAACAGTATTTTTGAAGTTGGTTGTGTTTTTTCTTAAAATTTTCTGAAATGGTTGTCGTTGAACTTTTTTAGCGTGCTAGGGATTGGAGATACTTTACCACCTGCCAAAAATTGGAAAATACAGGGAAATAACTATAAGTTGAAAAAGTACTTTAAGATAAAATTACCCACTTTAAGTCTCAAGAAGTATTTCTGGTCTTGAAATGTATGGACAAATGTATTTGCACTTCGCAAGTTATAATAAGCAAATGTAAAGCTGCTTTTCCAGTGTCTCAATGTAAGTGATGAAGTAGTAAGTTCCCGATTCCAGCTCTTCCTCCTAATGAAAGTGTCAGAACTTGGTGTAGTGGTGTAGGTCTTTTTTTTTTGGTTTGGGTTTTTTTTTTTTTGAGGAAGGGATGGAGAGGATTGGAGGTGTTGGAAATCTCCTATTTATGAGAGGAACCTATAATATTCAAAACACCAGGAGTTTTTTGTTTGTTTGTCTGGAAGGAAATGACTTTTGGGGTCTCCAAAGACAGACATTGGAGTTCTTCCCACTTAATTAAGTCAATAACTCCATATTTTTTCAGAAAATAAACAAATCTAAACTTTCTCAAAAGGTAATTTTCATTCATTTTCCCACTTCTTCCACCTCCCACTCATCTATGAAAATGATTAGTTTCTCACCCTGTATATTGAGAACTCAAATCAGCATCACAGATGTAGCGTGTTGGTGAATGCTTCCCTCCTACCTAAATGCCAGTTTGCTGTTCTCACAGCCTAAAAGGGATGCGGTCAGATTCAGCTTCTCCTGCTGTTGTCTTTCTTAGCACCATTATTTTGTTCTCTCTATCACGGTTTTAAGTGTTTTTCATCAGGATGTGCTGGTCCATTATGATCCCAGTAAGAAAGGCACTCAGACTCTGTAAAGTATAATTTAAAATGCTATTTATTAGAGCTGACACTGAAAAGAGAGAGCAGTGTAAATAATCTTACCTCGCACAGATGATGGGAACCCCGAGTTGGTGCAGCATCAAACAGGCTTCTGATCCATGGCCCTGTCCATAGAAGAGATTCCCCTCTTTTGGTCATTTGAGTTACTGTATTTTCTTAGTCATTTTGACTGTCAAACAGAAAGGAATTTTGAATGAGAACTTGATGCTGCAGTGTTCCATAAAGGTGGGGACATGCACGTGGCTCAGTCGCTGGTACAACATGGGAGCTGCCTGCAGGCTCCTCTGTTACAATCAGCTGGCTAGGTTTATCCTGCACCCCAGGAATTTATGTGGCGCAGCACAAGCCCAGACCTACTTGGGTCAACTGTTCCGTGGATCACTGAGTTCTTGACGAACAGTGGTCTTGTGATGCAGTGATCCTGACCAGTTTATCTTAGGAAAAAGTGGTCTAAATCCCACTATTTCCTGTATTGGGTGGAGTTGTACATGTGTGCGTTTATCAGCAAAGTATTCATCTTCAGGATGAATTTGTTGCTCGAAAGTTGGCTTTCACATGTGAGAAAATGGTGTAGCTTTCTGTTTTCTGTGTAGAAGTGTATTAACCTTTTTAAGCTCTTGCACCTCTGACAATTTCTAGCTATACAGCAATGTTTTCATTTTTGAACCTCTTGGCAAGCTCTATGCTTAAATGTGTCTGCATGAAATACCTTTCATAAATATATAAGTATATGTTTGTGTATAGATATTTTTATACTTTTTGGCATTTGATAAGGGAAGCAGTGGTCTAGGGGTTTTAGAAACAGGAGGAAAACTCAGCTTGCTGTGATTTAATGCTCTGATTGAAAATATTCTAAAATAATACTGTGTTTAAGAAGGAAGTCAGTCTTGCATTTTTTTCATTTTTAGTTTTCATATTAAAAATATACCAAGCTTGCTAGCGGAGATGCAGAACTGGTAAGCCGTACTGAAATCTGAAAGGCTTCAGCAATAGCATTGACTAAATTGTCGTAACTTCTAGTAGTTATCACATATCTGTGAGTAAAGATAGATTAAATGTTGGATGTGTGACCTCTGTTACATGCAAGGATACACTCATATTGCTTTCTGTTGCATGTGCAAGAGAGAACAGCAAGCTGTAGACTATACCCTTCTAGTGCATTAGCCCTGCAAAATGATGTACAAGTCAGCTTGGGCATGTGGCTTTTTTGAGCGGTGCAGGGTCTTTTTTGTTTGTTTTTGTCTAAGACATAACCTTACTCCAATTTATATCTCAAGTAACTTCGTATACCTGGTATTTAAAACTAATGTGAGAGCTGGTAGTTGTGCTGTTCTCTATTAGCCAGTATCTCTTTTCTTGCACATGACTATGAGGTCAGCTTTCTCAAAATAATTAAACTATTTGATTCCGTGGTTACAGTTGCAAAAAGCTTGTCCTAGAGTAAATCAGTTATACAACATTTGTTTTAAAATTATTCCCAGGTGTTAAGGCATACAGATATTCTGTTGACATTTCGATTCTTGAAAGACATAGAATAAGCTAAAGTGGGTGTAAAAGTTGTACTAGTTCTAAAGTTATGACCTGCAGACTGGGATACAAGGTTTTCTATGCTTTATATCAGTTTCCTTCTGACAGGGAGCCAAAGACATGGAGCTCTGATAAGTGCCAAATTAAGGCTTTTACAACTCCTTTGAAAAGTGTATACATCTAGGGCTATAGATTGTAGTCTGAAATATGGCAGCTGTTACATAATGTTTCATAAATAGCTTCTCAGGAAAATTCTTAGGTATGAGATTAAATCTAATCATTGACTTTGAAAATATACCTAACGCTTAATAGTCCAAAGTAGTGTGATGTATCTTCTAGTCACGTAACACTTATTTTAAAGAATTTTAAGCCGTGTCATTTGATTATCTTGAAGTCAGCAGTTTTTTTTAGCAGGAAAAAGCAAGAAAAATAGCATTGATGGATGGAGACTTACAAAATCATTCTGACATATGCTTCTGTAACTTAATTTGTTGCGTATTTGTCCTCTGCGTGTTGCCTTTGCAAACTAAGATATTACTATTGTTTGGTAGGTTTTGGTTTGCTTTAGGGTTTTTTATAAATTTCTTTTAGTTAGAGACTACGATTGTTGCCACTTACCTTCTTGTCCAAGTGACTAACAACTTCTGGGGGATTTGGTGTGTCCTGTCATTGTCTGTCCCCCTCTCCCCCTGAAAACTGCTAGACCGAATGTCGTGTTTAACAGAATTTGGGACCTCTTATTTGGCTTTTTTTTTATGTAGAGAGTGGAAAGCTCATTAAACCATTGCAAGTTCAAATTTATTTTATTTATAGAAATCCTTCTAAAGAATATTTTCTGGGAAGAAGGAATGCAATGAGGAGAAGTCACAGGAAAATGCACAGCCTAAAGCTCTGGTAGTATTTAAAATCGGTGCCTATACTAATCTAATATGAGCTCACCACAGATCCCGGGGGAGCTTGATGAAGGATTCCAAAGAAACTTATTAACATCCAAAGCGTGTTTTTTATAATAAAAGTCGGGGGGTTTTCTTACTGAAAAAAATTTCTTGCTTTTTATATTTGAGGAGGGGGAAGGAAATGCACAATGGATCATTTAACATTCTGTTTAATGATTTTATTAGTTTGTATGCATTCATTTTGGTCTAGATCCAAGTCTGTTCATGAACTTGAGCGTCGAGCAGGATTTTTATTTTTGTGAAAATGCACAATTAGCTCTAAATGTTTAATTTGTTAATGGTATTACTGATTTTTTTTCTTTTCAATATTAATTGCACTGTTGATGTAAAATAACTCGACTGCATTATTGTATCTTGCTCTGGCAAGGCTAGCCTGCTTAACAGAGAAATCTGGCCTGGTCTGCTTCTACGCAGTTACAGATACAGAAGCTACAAAAGTTAGACCTGTGTACAGGCAGAAGTAACTTTTGCAAGTATTGAGAATGTGAGTAGATTGAACCATTGAAAACATTTAAAGGAGAAAAACAATAAGGCAACCTGGAATGACAGTAACTGCCTGTTGGTCAGCCAGTCAGGAATATACCATGTAGAAATGAATTTCAACCAGCTATTAGAAACACATACATTAAAATCCCTGTAGCTATAGTAGTTTTTCTTCCTGAACATTTGGGGGCACTTAGTAGTGGAAGATAAGAGTACTTGACGTTCTGCTCACTTGGAGAGCACCTCATTTTCCTTTAGGAACTCCTGGCTCCTGGAGGACCTGTTTACTAGGATTTGTTTTTTGATTCTTGCTTGTTCTGGAACTTAAGATTTTAATAGTTGGGCAAAATGGTGCCCATATGGCACTCCAAGCAAGTAAAAACAGATATATATTGATATATATGTGTGTATATATAGTGTATCAACAATGAAATATAATGGGACCCCTTTCAGCATTTAAATGTCCTCTAATAATATTTAAAATAAGTCTTGTGTTTTTTTAAATCTGTCCTGCCTGTGTTACACACAAGAGGTCAAGAGCACCCAACAGTGTTATGATTAAATAACTTTTTTAATGAAATCTCTTTTTTTAAGATAATCTGTGATGGCTTAGAATTAAGAGTAAATTTACTTGACTTTTGAGCAGAAAATAATTGTACAGTGAATTGGTTGTCTTGCTTTGTCTAGATTGTATCAGCAGAAAGCAGTTTATCAGTATCAATCTTCACAGCAAGAGAGTTTATTTAGCTTAGTTGTTTTATTCCTATACTTTGTATTTCTTGCCTATTTAAAAATACAGGAAATATGACTCTGAAATACTTCACTATTCTATGTCATTTGTTAACAGTATTTCAAAACATTAGTAGAAGAAACCTCCTTTTGTGGTCATTAGAGATCCTTAAATAGTTAGATTTGCTAATGTTGTTAGACTTTCAATACCTCTAGGGCATAGGTAGTTTATCATGGTGTACACATAGAATCTGGGGACTGAGACTGAGGCCATAACTGCTGAAATCCAAGCTGACCTCTAAAGCTTACATTGTTTCAGGCACCAAAGCTTGTCATCAAGTAGTACAAAAAGTAGCAGAACAGTGTTGGAACTTGGGGCTAAAATTATATGTCAGTATCCTAATTTTGGACTATTTTTGTCTAAGTTCATTATTTCTAAATTGTAAGGGCACTTGCCAAATTCACTTAATATTAATTGCTTGTAAATGTTCATTAGTTCCTGAACTTAAGATGCCGACAAACCTGCGTCTTGGCGAGTAGAGTATTTCTATGCTCCACATCTGCTTCATTCTTAGGAATCCTTTTGGTGTCTAGTAAATTTTGTAAACCAAAAACTACCAATGATTTGATTTCTTCCTTTTCACAGTATTAGTGGTCTGTTACTTACAACCTTTTCCCTCCGAAAGATCAGCATTTTGAGAGAGGCTCTGGAGACATTTCCTAGACGTTTCCCTAATTCTGATTAAAGTTTTCATTTTGAGAGTCGCAGGTAATGGTGGTTTTTTTCCCCTATAAAGTGTGTGCAGTGATGCTATCTGGGCTGTCACAGATGTGTACATACATAGAACTCTTGCTCTGCCTTCTGTGTTGTGTGCTATTAGATTATTCTTTGTTTTGAAACAGGAGATCCTGAGAAGGAACTTAATCCCAAGAAGAAGATTTGGGAGCAAATCCAACCTGATCTTCATACCAATGACCAGTGTGTTGCTACATACAAAGGAGTTCCATTTGAAGTGAAAGGGAAAGGAGTCTGCAGGGCAGAGACCATGGCAAACAGTGGAATTAAATAAAGAAGTGGTTATTAAATGCTTTTTCAGATGTTGAAATGGAAAGTAATGCAAGCACAATAAAAAACATGAATATGTTACTCCTCTGAAATGCACGTTTAATACTTTTTTTGTTTGACTCCTCTTCCAGAGGTACAGAATGTGTTATGCCTCCAACATTTTCACAATTCACTCATTCACCGTGCTTACTGTCCTTGAGGTTAAGTGTTGTCAACAGTCCTTAACTACTCAGTGCTCAAGACTTAATTGCCAAGGCTTGTTCATGGTAGAACCACATGCAGGCAAGCATATTTTCTGGCCAGCAAAAAGGTTTAGAGGATCTATGGAGCAAGAGCATCTCAATAAGGAAAAATTTCTGCCGTGTTCCTTGTGTGCTAACTGTTCTTCAAGAGGTGCAGGACTAGGAGTTGGTCAGTGACGACCACAGTAGCCTTCATTCTTCTAGTCACCTTTTAATAGTTTTTCTCCTCTTCTTCCAAGCAGTTTCCAGATATATTATAAGCCTTTCCTACTTTGTTCTTGGCTGTGTTCTCAGTTGTCTGCAGACAATTGTAATAGGAATGTTAAACTATGGCCCTTTATGCCCTAAGATACACGAATGGACATACTTTCATGTCCCACAGTTAAACTGTTATAATGTCAATAAGATCAAAGCTGTCACTTTTCTAAAATAGTTCTTTATCTAGTCCACCTAGATATTTCCTTCCGAAGGATAGATAGTACTAAGAAAGGATGAATAGCAAATAGATTGCCAGACCTAGTCAAATACTACCAAAAAAAAAAAAAAAATCTGTTTCTGATGCCCCAACAAGTATAAAATGAATGGATTTTTTGTTTTAATGTATTTTTATGCAATGATATTTTGTGTGAAAGATGCTTTGGTTTGAACAGAAATAGCTTCTTCAGTTTTTACAATTAGAATTATTCCATAATAATGTAGTACAAGTAGTCACATTTGCTGTGGTAATAGCCTTAAATTACTTTTAATTCCTGCATTTTAATAATCTGAAAATAACTATTTTAGATCAATTTACAATAAATCTTTTAAGTAACTATTTAGAGATACTTGAGATATTTTGGCATACAATATTTAATTAAGTGGTTACTGTCTTAACCACTGAAACAGTAAGTGCTTTTTTAACCACAGAAATAAAAAAAAAAAAAGCTGCTCTGAATTTTGCAGGCTTTGAACTTCATCCAGTAAACTGGGAGAGAAAACAAAATGACAATGGTATAAAATTAAAAGGAACAGGCACAAGAGAAGAGATGAATAGATTTCTTTTTTGAATGAGTTTTCTATGTGTCTATAAACTGTGTTAATTTTTCACGCATCTAGGCATAAGCATGAGTAATTAGTTCTTTGAAATGTGCCAAATAGCATTAAGCAATAGAGAGCCATTTTATCTGCCTTGTAAACTAGATATCCAATAATGTCTTATTAAACAAAAGTATTGAAGTTCAAAATCTCAATTCTAACTCATCCTGAATCAAGGTAAGGAAATACTTTTATAGTAGTTAAATCTTAGCTTCAATACTGGAAAGCTCTGTACAAACTTTGGAATTCAGAGGAACTTCTGAAAGCTTGAAGAATTAAACAAAGAGGCTCCCTTACAGTCTTAAGTTCATATGCATTTTTTATTTTTTCTTCCAGATCTGTGTTTTGTATGAATTGTAATATACAATCTAGTATAGCATAGAATCTCATTTGTGACTACATATGTATTAAGAGTGTGATGTAGGGCACTAGCTTGTTCTGATTTTGTGGTTGAAGCCAGGATTCTGGATGCAGTAGTGTGAGGTACTTTATGAAAGGCAAGTAGTTTGGTAATCTAAAGAGGTATTTCCAATGGTGTGTTCAAAGGTATTTAGTATGGACGTGGAGTTTTCCAGTTGATGGCTTCTACTCTTTTATTTCTATTAAATGTTACCTACCATAAAAAATAGACAAACGAGCACCTGAAAGCTGTATTTATTCCTTGCTGTGTTTAAGTAGAAGCACTTGATAATTATTTTGTCTTATAAAATTCAAGAGCTTTCTTAAGACAATAGCTCTTTCCTCTTTAATTATGCTCTTCTGGTTGTCTAGGAAAATGTATTTATGCTGTACTGAGCTCAAAAGTGACAACAGGGTACTTGAGGCACTGTGCAAGTATGCTTCCTCACTGAATCCAGCATCTTCTGCCTTGTCTGCATGAGTAAGTAGAACTGCGGTGAAATCCTTCCATGTGGGACCCAGAAGTTCCTGTAATGAAAACCAAATCTTAAACGGTTATCCCTTCTTGTTCCTTTTCCCCACTTCCACCTCATATACTTATGCATTAACAGACCAGTTATATGTTCTTTTCCTGGCAGTAATCCAGTTCGTGCTATCTGAGTTGCTGAAATTTCTGGGGTTTTTCACCTTCCCAACACACTGACATCTACTTTCAGTGGAAATATGTGGTTGTGCAGTACTAATAGTTCTCTATTCTCTTACTACAGATGTTAATAGAATTTATCCAGTTAAAAAATGTCTATATAAATAAGGAAAAATGGTTGTTTAGCTATGTCACGTTAGTGTACATCACTAGTTTCCACATACCCATATTTCTACACTTTTTACAGCTCTTTGAAATTTTTTTTAAAAATCACCAAATCACCTCGTGTTGAAAAAAATAAATGATTAATTTCTGTGTAACACCAACTGCAGTTCCAGCTGTATCCCATAAAACTGAACTATTCTCAGCAATACAGGAAAAACACAAATCAAATGCATCAACCTAAGTGATGGGCCAGAGAGTTTGTCTTTAACTGCTGTGGTTCGGGGAATGGAGAAAACAAGCTGTTCTTTTGTGAAAGACTACAGAAAATTTTAATACGAATAAGAGATTGGGCTTGCATTTACAAATGTAAATGAAACAGTGCAATTAGGCTAACTCTGTGTATCAAGAAGCCTACTTTGGTAATAAAGTCCACTTTGCAATGATCTTGACTCTGTAACCTAAACACCAAGGTGTTTAAAAAAAAAACAAACAAAAAAAACCAAACCAAGAAACCCAAACCCCCCAAAAAACCCCAACCTGCTTTAAAGGATATCTTTTGAGTTGCAAGATAAGCAAGGAGTTAGAAAAACCTGGTATATTGATAGTGACTAACCTGTTTTAGACAGTAGGGATGAAAAAAAAATTAAACCCATACAAAATTTTGGCATAAGCTGTGTAAGAAAGTGTTGAGTTACCTGTTTTGGAGAGAGAAGGTAGTGCATTGATTTGCTGAGGACTCGAAGTCAGTGCTAATGTTAGTTCTGAAATCAGTATCTGCCAGTGTCTTAATTCATTAGATTATGTTATTGAAATTTTAAAAAATCCAGAGAGATTTAAAAGCCATCTTCATTGATATGCCATCACTAATTTGCAGATTATTGTGAAAACTCCTGATTGCTAAAGGTAATCTTCATGCTAATGCCTTCTTGGAATGACATACTGAAATAGAACCATTCCTGTTCGTATTCCTGGCACCCAGGCAGCTGTCCTGTTTGTTCGTGGCTGATGAAATCACAGCATCTAGTCTTTTAAGGGAAAAATAAATCAAAAGCCAACCATTATCTAAGCTGAGAGTCAGTTGTAATCATGACGCGGAAGTAAGTGTTGCTTTCTGATTATTTTCAAACATGACTTATTTCGTTTCCAGTGGGGGGTTTTAAGGCTCCATTTAAAGAGGAAAGGCACGGTGGCATCTCTTATGCTTTCAATGCCCACATGGACCCAAAACAGTCTCAAACTAGACGCATGATGATTTCTCATTGTCTTAGAGTAAAAATATTTTGAGTAAATACTGCTTTCTCTTAAATACTATAATGTATATGCCATGTATATATAGAGAGAGAACTGTATCAGGAAAAAGGGTAACAATGATGACAAATGCGTGTAAACTGACAATGAGAAAGAGTGCGTTGAATTTAGAACCAACTCTCAAAAGTACCTGAAAAGTGAGGAGCAGCCTACTAATAGAGAACAATTGGAAAGAAAAGGAGAGAAAATCAAACACATTTTGAAAGCTATTTTTATCTACATATGTATTATATATTTAGATAATATCAGTTACAGCAGGTGATAAGACTTGATGGACCAGGAAGTCCCTTCCAGTCCTAAACATTTTTAGAAAGTTCATCAGTTTAAAACAGCTGCAAAGTGTAGTGTGCAGACTTTGGCAAAAACTGAAACCCTTTGTTTCTTCGTGAATCATACAAACCTGGTTCATCTGATCAGATAGATAATCAGAGCAATAGTTGTTTGCTGGTTTGTTTTTTTTTTTTTCCTTTTTATTTTCCCGTTCTCCAAAGCTATGTATGCATGGTAATGAGAAATCTCCAACTGAAAAGAAAGCCATTCCTTTTCAGTGTCTCTCCCCACATATCTTACCTACTTGCAAAAAAAAATTTTCCCTCAGGAGCTCCAAAACATTTATTTCAAGTTAGTCATGCTAGAAATTTTCCTTAGCCAGAGTAAGTTTATGGTAACTTTCCAGGTTTTTTTTCTTGAACAGATACAGCAGTAGTGACAGTGCAGGACAGAGCTAAACATCCTTCTCCCAGGTCAGTCAGATTTTCTGCGTGATTTTGGACCTGTCGCTTTCTGCTTTGGTCCTACACAGAGCGCAGGAGAGGGAGGTAACCTGACTTTTGCTTGCTTTAAATAGCATTTCTCTTCAACAAGCTAAATCTCTCATGATAAAGCATTAACTGTAATTTCTGAGAGAAATGCTTACTTTGATAGGTAAATTTGGTTCCTAAATTCATTTGTTCCGAGCCCCCGTACAAAAAAGATCAGTTCTTGCTTCTCTCCTCTCAGGTTCAGTGTGGTAAGTGTAGCTACGGGGCATGGGGTTGGAATTGTGAATGGTGCATTTCAACTGCTGGGCTGGGAAGCCTTCCACTTTCCAGCTGCACTTCTGTATTTCAACTCTGCAGCCGATTTTTCCATAGCTATTGTCACCTGAATACAAAAGAGTTGCCGTTAGGGCAGAGACTTCTATTTATTGATTTGTTACCTGGATGAATTGGGTTGTGTGATCGCTTTCATCCGGACACAGAGGCAAGTCAGCCCTCAGGACCAAGAGAGCTAGGTGCAGGCCTTCCTCCCCAAAGTGGTGAGCCAGGGCTGATCTCACGGTGTCTCTCACCTGCTCTTTGCTCAGACCACTGTGAGGGTAGCTTGGAGTATCGAGTACTCGAACGCGGAGAGCAACCTCACAGCTGTTTCTTCGTATAATCCCCGAAATGCGGCAGCTGCGTCCAAGGCTGCAGCGTGTAGTCACAGAGCTTGGGGAGCAGTGACTCTCAAAGTCGGAGCTGCCCAGCAGAGTGTTCCCAGCAGCGCTTTTGCCAGTCTGAGTTCTTCCAAGGACAACAAGGTTGATGGTCATCTCGTTGCTATCCGCCATTGTCTGTGATTTTGTCCACAAACCTGTCACTAAGTGAGTAACAAATAAGATGAGCCATTTCAGGTAACTTAAAAAAAAAAAAGAAAAAAATCCGGGAAAAATTAGAAAACTCAATGTCTTTTGAGTGTCCTTCCCTGCCTGAAATGTTGTAAGGAGTGTGTGGTGTAGATAAACATTCAGTACAGCACATATACCTCTGTCTGATCCAAGGACAGATCTTTTCTGTCCTTCCCAGTCTGTTGCTTAGAAATAACAAGATCCCATGGAAGGTGTCACAGGTACGAGAGCAACCTAACAGGCTGTACTCCTACACTGGCAGAAACTGAAGAGCTGGGAAAGAATTGGACGTGAGAAGAGTTTTAGGAACAAGTAAAGCAGATAAAGATAAGGAGAGGCAACAGAGAAGGGAGGGAAGGGTGGAGCTGGGAAACACCGGTGGAAAACAGCATTGGCATGCAGGGAGAGTAGATTATGAAAAGGAGGAAAACTAGGGGAGGAAGAAGAGAATGGTGACAAATACCTGCTGCTGTTATTAAGTGACCATGTTTCAGGAAGTAAATCTTGTTTCGTGGGAAGGGGGGGGAAGGATAGTCGGGGAGAAGTAGCTTTTAAAGGAGCACTTTTTCACAGAACAGCTTAGAATATGTTTTTCATCAGCTACCACTGAAGTTGAAATAGACAGTAATCCAAAAGGGCTTTCTGATACAGATAAATATAAGAAAGTATGTCTTAATGGAAAAAAGAAGGGTTGAAATAGCCGATGTTGCAGGTTCTAACCCCATATGAAATTGAGGCTTTGGAAATGAATAGCGTAGAAAATTTTAGACATACAGCACAGTAAGTGGAAAAGAAAAGCATAGACTGGTGGATAGAGAGGGGAGAGCTGTAAGTGTCATTTCCAGTTAGCGTAATTGTTCATAAATAAGCCCTCTCATTCTCTTTGAACTTTTCTGTAATCCAATATCTGAACGTTTTTGGTGCACATTAATCATCTAACAGGAATACTGGCTGATTAAATAAATTCAGAAGTGTTTCAGATGGAAAACCATATTGGCAGAGTAGTTGTTGATTTTAAGTTATCATTGACACCTGAACTTCAGAAAGATTATTTTATTTTTTTAAGATACAATGTTTAGGTACTCAGAGATGGTGGGTAATTTTAGAATGGGATTTCCTGTGATTAATTTATTTAGACTCTTGCATGTGCAGTTCAAGCTTTCTCCCTCATATTAAATCCATGCCCAAATCAATCTTCTGAAATAATTTCAGTACAAAGCCAAACATGCAAGAGCTAGTAACATACTAATTTTTTTACAGGCAACATTGAATACTGTACATCATGATCTTCCTTACTGAATTCACATTGGATTTTTCAATGATCAATTTCCTTTTTTTTTTTTTTAAGAATACCTTTTAAAAGACACCTTATGAAATGGCTGTCATCAGTTATCCATCAGTCTAGATGTGCATTGTATTCTTTTTCTGTAGCATAATAATATAACATGGCAGTCATGCATTTGTGCATTCCTTTTTTTAAAATCTTGATCAAGGATTTGTTCTTTTATTTTTTTCTGTAAGCAGTCTATGCTTGAATACTGAAGTTAATTTCATATTATGTCACTTACCTTATTTTCCCTTAAATTCCTCTTTCATTCAGACTTCATTCATAAACCTTGTGTGCAGTATAAAAAGAAGTTCATATGTGAACTTTGAAACTAAGAGCAGCAATGTACCACACTGAGACTGTTACGTACACATTAATCTGGTTAATCTATTACTGATAGATCCTCATTCAATTGGATATGTTTGGCCAGTAATTGGCACTGTTGGATTTTTACAACTTAGCTGCAACTACAGTTTTTGCAATCACTTTAATGATTGTATGAAGTTGATATTTTTGGAAGTTAGTTGAGTTCTACCAGCAGTTAAAAGTGAGAGTGATAGTGGAGGTACTGGGATTATTTGTGTTGCATGTTCTTGAATGTGTGTTCATATATACATGTGAAGAGCATATGTACTCTCTCTTATTATTGCAATGAATTAGTAATTGCAGTATTTTCAAAGCACAATGTAAACCATATGCAGATGTAAAGCTGTTTGCCTAACAAAGATGGATTAAAATAATCAAAAAATGGGTTAAAATACAGAAATTAGTTGTGAATCAGGAAGAAAACTGAAGGCTCGCACCACTGCCAGTCCTGTGTGTCAGCTGTTGGCTCGATAGCTTGATGCATTTCTCTTGCAAGCATCATTCTTTGCCATGCTATAGTAGCATTAAAACTAGGGATAAAAAGATTGTCCGGAAAGGACCTGTCACTTGCTTGTTAGACAATTTCCCACAAGTGGGAAAGTAACTGGACTCCTGTGCCGTAGTGGAAAATAAATACAAATTTGTGCTTTAATGACCAGGTTCTAGTAATAGAATGAAAGAATGGATTGAGCCCTTCTTGTCTGTTCACAAGGAAAAGTTTAGGTAAGGCACTTCTCTGACTGTTGTTCCCAGGTGGGTGGAGGCACGTGTTTACTCCAAGGGTTTTAAGATATGTGTCATTACAGTGAGAACAAGAATCTGGTATGTAGGCTGTCTGTGGTGGGAGGAAGAGGAAGGTGTTTTCCAGAGCCCGGTCCTGCTGGGGACATTGTCATCCAGTCCTCTGTGGGGGAGCCTGTAAGTATTGGTTTACTGCAGTACCAGGTCTGTTCCTGCCTGCTACAGCAGTGGAGTGAGACTTCAGTTCCTCTGGAAGCACGTTGTCTCTGGCTGTGGTGCCACAGGCACTGCCAGTGCTCTGGCAGAAGGTAGGACCTAATAGTGCCCTCCCCATCTCCTCCCATAAATTCATATCGTTCATCAGGAATGAGTATTGTTTGTGTTACTGGGCTGTAGATGGCTGTGTAATAATTTTGTTGCTGTATCTTTTTACGAGCACATAGGCAAGTTAGTTGCTCTCAGACAGCTCCCTGCTCTCGAGCCTGCCTGTTCTGGTGAGAGGTGAGACATTACATTTTTTCCTGTATTGTATGAGTAGCCAAGGGCAACTATTGCTAGTTTCCATTGTGAAGAGCCTTGTGGCTCAGTGCTGTGCACAGCCTTTGTCTCAAGGCATATTTATAGATAAAGCGTATAGCAAGGTTCTTTCACTTGCTAGTGGATACAAGCTCAAAGACGACTGGATGGGGGGGTGACTCGCTTGCAAAGCAAAAGGGTAGGTCAGTCTCATAAAACCATGGATATTGTGAAGACAAAATCCAGATGCTTCCTTGACTTTGGTTAAATTGTTGCAGCCTAGCTCTGTACTTTTCATCGGACTGTTCCTATGCACAGCTCATGACATCGGAGGCGGTATATGTCCTGGCAGTCACATCCAACTGAGCCAGTAGCTTGGCAAGGAGATAATTTAAGCTGTGCATGGACAAGGATTTAGACTACCAAGAAAACTAGAATCCCAGAAGCAGGGGAGCAAAATACAGCTTGCCCAGCTGGATGCAGAACAGGGCTTTTATGCTGGCAAGATGGCTGTGAAATTAAGAGTAGCGTAAATGATGCACTGCCTAAATGAGATCTAAAACTTGGCTAAGTACACTTACCAACAAAAAAAAATAATGCATTTCTGTATTGTGAATGTAATACAGTCTGAGTTGGGACACATCTGGAAGGTCTTACAACAGCACAGGCAGTGGATTTTAAGAAGTTGTCTTCCTGGGAGGATATGACAGGGAAAAAAAAATCAAACTGATTTATATGATACTTGCTTAGGCTCCTCATAGTACGTGGAAAGAGTCCTCCCCAAGGTGGCAGTATCAGCCTGCTCCACAGGTACTGTAAAACGCAGCTGGGGTCCCCTTGCTCTGGAGTCCCATGCTGAAATAAAATACTGGGTCAGAAATGAGCTAAAGCATTAGAAAATACAGAATAGTTTCAGGAGTCTTCAAGCATCTCCTGAAATAAACACCAAAAGCGTTTCTCTCCTTTGTCACAAGAAGCACTTTTTACTTAATATATAAAATACAGGCAGCATAGCACCTTAATGAATTTGAACAGCAGTAATGGAAATGTAGCGGTTAAGAAACTGTAAGTGTTATTTACTGTCCCTTGTATGATTCTTTTTCTAACCAAGACTTTTGTTTTCATTAGCTTTTAAATTGAGTTTGTGACATTTATTATGGGGCTTTGGATATGAGATCTTAAAATCAACTGTCAGAGTATGATTTCGCAAAGAACAAGTACAGAGTACAACAAAACTGCCTTGGATGCTTTTTAGCACTGCTCACTGCCAGTGGCTAAGCTTTTGTTTTGTTTTGTTTTCTTTAACTTTTTTTTATAATGACAGCAAAAAACAAAACTGAGCCTATTACAGGCTGGCAGGCAGGAAGGCTTCCTCTGACTGATAAAGGAAGCCTTATACTGCTCCCATAGAAATACCAAGCAGGTCTAGTGAGGAATTGTCAAGAATCTAAGGAAGTAAGGCCCCTAATCTGATTGAAAATGAGTGGCATTTGGGTATCAGCTTCTTTAGCTGTCTTTGAAAAAACAAGGCTAAAATTATTTGCTAGTAACCATTGGATTTGTAAATATCTACAGAGTTAACTAGAATTGCAGTGCATCTTAGTCACATTACTCTGTCAGCTGCTGTTCTGTTATAGTCCCTGTGATCACCCAGTTGGTTTGCACGTACCCTAAACAAGCTTTCCACTATGCTTGTTAGGGTATACCAAGCAGATTACATCTTGTACACTGGAATAGCATAGTTTCTCTTTAGGCACATGGCATCTCTTACCATGTGTCAGCTTTCAGTTCCCACGCCTTCCTATCCCTTACAGCTTCTTTCCTCATGTGGGCTCTCATTTTAGCCCAAGATGATGCCATAATAAGTAATTTAAGATGTGCTTTGATGAATTTCTCTTACTTAGAGAAAACCCAGTGAGGCCATTTTACGGATTGCCACACATGGAGGCAGGCTCTTAGCCTTCCCGAACAACGTGAGAAATCCAGGAAGGTATTTAGTCCATGTAGTCAGTGTGGCTTCAGTTCTGTTAGATGAGTAATTTCTAAGAAACACCAGGCACGTCTCTGCTGAGAGAGAGATAGGACAGATCTGATGATGCTCTGCTCCTTTTGGACTGCATTCACAACAAAACCGTCTGTGCTGATCCTAAAGGAATACACACATAAAATATGCTCATGTTTCCTTAAAACAGATTATTATTTTTTTTCCTTTGCTTAATCCAATCCTTAGTAACCTTACTATTTTTGAACAAAAGTAAGCAATTGTCAGTAATCATGTTTCTCTTTGCAGTATAGTTGGCTGTGTAGGTTATGTGCTACTACATTGGCATTGCTAATGGAGGTGCGGTACAGTTGCAGACTAATGCTGGAATTGCACTGGCTTTCGGACAGTGTCTGTTTGTACAGTTGTGGAACCACCTCCTCAGGTTCCCGTTGGACTTCTTACAGCAGATCATGGGTTCAGGGCAAATACTGCTGGGAGAAAGGCAGATCAAGGACCTGCCGCATGTTTAAAAGGAGATTGAGCAGAACTATCGGCACAGTGAGAACATGAGCCAGACTGTTGGTTTTTTTTTTCTCTGTTCTCTCACTGAATCACCAAGATCCACAAGATACCCTTTTCCTTCATCCTCTGCAAATAATAGACAACTTCAAATTAGAAACCAGTATCTTTGACATGCTGATCTGGTAAGTCTTTGCTGTTATTCTTAGCACTCTGCTTCTCAGTGCACTGAGAACAGAGCACTAATAAGCCACAGGAGCAGAGTGTCTTCTTGTTTCCTGTTGGTATGATTAGGTGTGACATGGCTATTCAGAACGCTGCAGGATGCATTGTAAAATAGGGCATCTCACACTTACGTTACAGGCTACCAGTTTCTTAATTCTCTTACTAACCCCCACTGTCTCCTATTTAACTAGTGATTTTCCCCATGGCACCATGTAATTATTATTTTTTAATATGCAAGGAATAATTTTAATATACCATATTGTGCTATACTGTCTCTTGAGCAGATTACTTAGTGATATTTAGAGTGTCTTCTCTTCATCCATGTTGCCAGGATATGTTTTCTCTAGTATAAATGTTGGACATAAGTCACTAGTGCACAGGTTTGGCCATAGGACTTTGCCACAAGGCTGACATGTTTGTGTCCGTTCATGTGAAATATGCAAAATATCCAAAGAAATAAAGGTGATATTGCAAGTAAGACTATACATATATAAATAATAGTAAAAAAAAAAACCCACAAAAAAACAACAAAAAAACCCCAAAACACACACACACACACACACACACACACACAAAAAACCCCACCAAAACCCACAAAACCCCAACAACAAAACCCCCAAATCATAAAGTGTTGGTTTCAAAGGCATACATTTGGGAAAGAAACAATAATCAGAAAGTATGAAAATACGACTTAAGGAAGAATCCTTTTTCCCTTACACATACTTAGCTGGATGAACTCTGCGGCTGTCCCCATGCATCTTCTGTTGTGACAACATGAGTCAGGGTACCGTAGTCATTCACCTTCTTTTGATTAGCCTCAAAATTCATCCACGTGTGTAAAAACATTTTGCCCCTGGGGCAAAAGTCCTGTGAATAGACAACATATCTGGGAGCTCACAAAACCCATATCTGGCTGCTATTTCTGTAATACTCATTCTGAGAAGCTGCACAATT